GGTATCCGGCCAATGGATGTTGAGTATCTTGCATAGACAACTGTTTATAAATACTTGTACGCTTTTGATGATGGTTGTAGTAGTTCTCCATGTTTCAGCTCCGTAAAGTTATTTAACTGTAGGAATGCTGTCCTTGTTTGCTAATCCTTGCGTTTACATCTGCATCAGATCCTCCACATTCATCAATGATGCTACCCAGGTACGTGAAAGACTCCACCTCTTCCGAAAATTTACCATCAGGCGTGATTGGGTTGGTGCTCGCCGTGTTGTATTTGAGGAACTTAGTTTCCCCCTTATGTAGGTTGAGGCCTACTGATGCAGAAACTGCTGCTATACTGTTCGTCTAATTGGTTCTGAGCTGTCCATTGTATTCCGTGTTTTCCCTCGGATGTCAAGGTTTTCATAACTCAGTCGACCACCAGACGAAAGAGGAAGTGGGAGAGTAGACAGCCTTGTCTGAATCCGGTCCTTACTTGGAATGCACCTGTCAACTGTCCTCCATGCACGACATTGTACTGTAGTCCGTCGTATGAGTTCCGGATAATGTTGACAATCTTCTCAGGGACTCGATAGTGTCGAAGAAGTTTCCATAATGTTCTCCTATCTACACTGTCAAACGCCTTTTCATAACCAATGAAGTTGATGTATAGTGACGAGTTCCACTCAACTGATTGTTCGACGATGATCCGTAGTGTCGCAATTCGGTCTGTACACGACCGATCTTTACGGAATCCAGCCTGTTGATCTCGAATTTGGGCGTCTACTGCGTCTTTCATCTGGTTCAGCAACCCTGTTAAAGACCTTCCCTTGTACTGACAGTAGTGTGATGCCTCTTTATTTTTCACATTTGCTCAGATTTCCTGTCTTTGGAATCTTGATGAGGTGTCCTTCTTTCCAGTCCATCGGCACTTGTTCCTCCTCACAAATCTTTTTGAATAGAAGGTAAAGCATGCTTGTGGTTACTTCGATGTCTGATTTCAGTGCTTCAGCTGGTATGTTGTCGGATCCTGCTGCATTCCCGTTCTTGATTTGTCTGACAGCCATTCTAATTTCTTCCGTCGTTGGTGGGTTGACATCTATAGGAAGATCTATGTGTGCTGCTTCGATGTCCGGTGGATTTATTGGAGCCGGCCTATTGAAAAGTTCCTCAAAGTACTCTACCAATCTGTTCCGCTGTTCTTGAATTTCAGTGATTGGCTTGCCTTCTTTGTCTTTGACCGGCCTCTCTGGTTTACTGTATTTCCCTGCTAGTTTCTTCGTTGTATCATAAAGCTTTTTCGTATTTTCTTCTCTTGCAGCTTTTTCTGCCGTCGTTGCTAGTTCTTCCACGTATTTCTGCTTATCGGCTTTAATGCTCTTCTTCACTTGCTTGTTTGCTTCTGTGTTTTCGGCTTGTGCTTGGACTTTCTCTGCTCGTGTTCGGCTGTTGTTAATTGTTGTCTTCTTCTTTTCTTTGATCTTGTCCAGTGTTTCTATAGAGATCCATTCCTTATGATGATGCTTCTTGAGGCCAGAACCTCTTGACACGTCCAAGTTAATGCTTCTTTGATACCTTTCCAGTTGTCCTCCATAGTAGTTTCTTCTTCCTTCAGTAGATCTTGTAAGGCTTGGAACCTGTTGTTGAGAGCTATCTTGAATTCATTGAGTTTGTCAGTATCTCGAAGGAAGGCTGTATTGAACCTTTGTAGTGCTGTTTGTCCAGTTGTCCAGTTCTTCTTTAGCTTCAGTTTTAAATTGGCTACAACTAGGTGGTGATCTGAAGCTACGTCAGCACCTCTCCTGGTTCTCACATCTTCCATTGTTCTTCGGAATTTTTTGTTGATGCAAATATGATGTATTTGGTTCTCTGTAGTGTGGTCCGGTGAGATCCATGTAGCCTTGTGTATACGCTTGTGTGGAAATATTGTGCCTCCTATGACTAATTTGTTGAATGCACACAAATTTGCAAATCTTTCTCCATTTTCGTTTCTCTCACCCAGTCCATGTCGTCCCATAATATCTTCATATCCAGTGTTGTCTATTCCGACTTTGGCATTTAGATCTCCCATCAGAATAGTTAGGTCCTTTCTTCGGCATTTCTCAATGATTGACTGCAGCCGCTCGTAGAACTGATCTTTAATGTCGTCGTTGCTATCATTGGTGGGTGCATAACATTGGATAATATTCATTAAGATCCCCTCCTTCTTTGTTTTGAATGATGCTTTGATGATTCTGGATCCGTGAGATTCCCATTCTACAAGTGCATTTCGTGCTACTTTGGACAGCATAAGAGCGACTCCCTGAGTGTGCGGAGCATTTTCCTTTTCGTGACCGGAGTATAGCAGCATCTCTCCCGTATTTAGCCTTTGTTGTCTAGCTTGGATCCAATGGGTTCCGCTGATTCCCAGTACTGCCAGTTTGTATCTCCTCATTTCCATTTTTATTTGACTGGTCTTCCCGGTCTCCCACATTGTTCGGACGTTCCATGTACCTATAAAAATTGTTGCTCTGGTTGTAAGAAGGGGCATCGGCCTCGTGGCTTCCGAAGGAACTCGGCTTTCACCATGAGGCATCATAGTTCTAAATGAAGGCCTTTTAACTCCCAGGGCAGAGTTTAAATGGTTTGGATTATTTTTTCTGGTTAGCGTTTTTTAATGAGTTAGTTTTCTACGGGATGGGGTCGCTAACCCCATGTCCAACCCTCCTCTTTACCTGGGCTTGGGACCGGCAGTAACTCTGGAAGAGCTACAGGCGTTTTTGTCACATACATTGTGTTATAAATCACACTTATCGTCTGACTTTTCAGGGGTTAGTCTCCTGTCAGGAGATTCACTTGTTGACCTAGAGTACGCAGGTGATATGGTTCTATCTGATGAAGACGCTGAAAAATTACAAGATCTTATGAATGCCTAAAGTAACAATGTGAGCATGTTTGTAATGTGATTTTCTCCCACTAAATGCAAAATATTGCTTCAGAATTTATGTACGTCAATGTCTGAATTTGATGATTAGGAATGCACCTGTCAGCTGTTCTCCATGCACGACATTGTACTGTAGTCCGTCGTATGAGTTCCGGATAATGTTGACAATCTTCTCAGGGACTCGATAGTGTCGAAGAAGTTTCCATAATGTTCTCCTATCTACACTGTCAAACGCCTTTTCATAACCAATGAAGTTGATGTATAGTGACGAGTTCCACTCAACTGATTGTTCGACGATGATCCGTAGTGTCGCAATTCGGTCTGTACACGACCGATCTTTACGGAATCCAGCCTGTTGATCCCGATTTCAGAATATATACTTGAAGTTAAAGAAAATGCTTTCCTTCTTTCTTCTCTACTTATATATCTATATATCAATTCTTTGCCATTTATCTGTTCATCAATTTGTATATATTACTTTTCAGTTATTTTTTTCCCAAAAATGATTTTCTCAACAATCTCAAGAAGATTTTACATTTTTAACCAATGAAGGTTTTTTATTTGTCTTGTACTTTCTCCTACATTTTACTACCCAAGAAAATATGAATTTTTATTTAAGCAAAATTTTAGACATATTGAACATACAGTTGGGAACGTATGAGATTATTAAATGGCAAGCATGGAACATGATAACTTTCAACTGGTTTCTCGTCATGCAACCTAAATTCTTTAATTAATAATCTGCTGAACATTGGGCTGTAATGTTTATTTGACGGACAGTGATATTAGTCAGTTGATCAAATAGAAGTAGGTAAGTCAGGGTAAGAATCTGAAATTTATTGATTGAATGTTGAACATTTGTAGTGTCGGTTGCATATGTTAAGTCCACATATTTTATTCTGGCTTCCTGACAAGCCAATTTATTCATTATTCTTGAGTCATGTTTTCATCTTGTTAATGATTCGCTTATTAATCGTGACTTTTTTATATGAACATTTGTGTATGTACATGTTGTCCTATTGATCACATGTCTGTAAGTTATTTTCGTTCGACTATAAATATTGACTCAGACATGGCTAAATTCAGTTGGCTCACACTCCTTCTCCACTATGTGTCATTTCGCTTCTCTCTCTTTGCTTCATTTCTTATATCGTTTGTCTGGATCAACGATTGTATGAAATACACGCACTGGAAATCCATTCTCGTATTTGACTTATTTAATTCTGTTGTTCACTAGCGCGATTTAAGTAGACAATTATATACAAGAGTAGCTAGGATATATATTATCAATAGCAATCAATGGCACGATCTAACTGGAGTCAGATATCGGGCCACTAAACACTTTTAGAACCAGTTTACCATTAGCCTAGTCCCCAATCATCACCATATACTGTTGAATAAATCAAAGTCATGGTTATCTGATTTCCATAGGTCGCGTATGTGAGGACGGCCGACTATTGAACTCGAGGAAGCTCTTAGAAGCTGAAAAAGAGCCGAAAATATTCCAGGTAGTCAACTTGTGGAAGAATATTCCAGAACCTCTACTTTTAGCTTCTCTATTGAATAAATGCTAAAAACCCCTATTTGCTGATTGGGTGATTGTAATGATGATTTCGCTTTTACTAAAAACTATAAATACCTGAGAGTTTTGGACCATATTTGACACTGCTTGGAATAGCATTCCTTTCATTTGTCTTTCGTCTTGTAACTTGCGACTTCGAGGGTTCTAGCATTCGAGTGCTGAAGGTATATGTGGTAATATTAAGAATGCAAGCTCTAGATATAACAGTGTGTTGGTGAGATTATTTAAAATAAAGTACTAGTTGTGTCTCTTGGACTTGTTGTCCTAAAACAATATGTATTATGTGAAATTTGTTCCGTTTTTGGGGTTACACTTGAATGTGATTAATAACTGTTTAGCTGGAAAAAGAAAACAAATCCAGCGTGTTAGTACGAATGCAATGTCTATCGTCCTATTTTATTCATTATAAAGTAAGTAAGATATTATATTTGATCAATCCACAATATAATCGATCATTCCAAAAAACACAAGGTCATAACAAGAATTTAACTTAGTTATTTACATTTACTATAAGTTTCATGTCTTTTACTTCAGTCATACTACTGTCATCATTATTATTAGTATTTTCATTTTTATTTAATTTTATTCCAATTTCCAGTCATTTAAACGTCTGCCCAAATAATGAAACTGTTATATACAATAATAACAATAGTAATGATAATAATAATAATGAATTAAACAAATGTTATGCATTACAATTACATTTAGCTAAACAACGTCATATTATTAGATTAATTAAACGTGATCAATTTACAATGAATTTACAACTAACTTGTCATTTATGTTCAAATGATAATCCAATAAATTTTCAATGGTATCGTATTCTACGTAAAAACATAATCAAACAATATTTCATTTAAATAATAAAACATTCTATGATCATAAATGGATATTGAATAGAGATTTACTTGAACCAGTTCTAACTAATACACTCATAAATGATCCATGTTTAATAAATAGAACAAATGAATTAGTTTATAAAAAATTTGATCCATATCATGATTCTGGTACTTATGTATGTCAATCATTAAATAATAATAAACATCCTTTAAATTTTATATGGTACCATATAGATTATATTAATGCTTATACAAATACATGGTCTAGATTAAATTTACCATTTATAGAACGAATGAATAAATCTGTAACTACATATAATCAATTAATACAATTACAAAAAATATATTGAAGAAGAAATAAATCGGCCAGAATATTTTCATGATCGAACATTCAGTTTATTACGTATTACATCAAAATCATTTCATAATTTAACACATTATAAATATTGTGGTAATATCCATGTCCAACAAAATCGTGTTTGTTTTATACAGATACCAAGAAAACGACCAATCCATATTGATAATAGTAATGATAATAATAATAATATAGAAGAAATAAAATTAATTTATTTTATATTATTCAATGGTTTCTATGAATTTGGACAATTTTATGATGATGATGATAATAATACTAATCAATTAAATTTTTGGCGGCTATTTAAAAATCTTCGGAAAATTTAGCAACCCAATTAGGTTTTCAATTATTTTTAAATAAAACTTATTTATACATACCATGCCAATATAATTTTTTTAAACAATTACCCAATTTAAACAAAACATTTCAACCACTAAATATATTAAATCTTTATATAACTATTACATATCATTTACATTGTGTTCATCAATTAGATACAATAGAAATGATGAATTTACCTTTAAAATATGATGTAACTAAGATGAAATTAAATATTCATGATTATCATCATGTAAATTATATGAAATTAGAAAAATTAGCTATGGAATATGAACCATTCATAACATTAGATTGTCATCTTACTAAAGAATATATATGTAACCATACTACTGCCACTAATAATACTAATAATCTCATTAAATGGAGTACAACTAATTTAACATTTTATTCACCTACTATATTCAATGAAAGAATTTATATAAATGAAAAATGTCAATTAATTATTCATAATGTCAAATTAATTGATTCTAATATTTATAATTGTTATATAAAAAATCAATATCAATCAAATAACCCATGGCAACTAAAAATATCATATAGATTAAAAATTGAAAAATCTTATTATCAATGGCCTAGTAAAAATAATTTATTAATTGGCTTATTATTCCTTGTTATATATAGTATATTTATTACAATAATATGGTTTATTTTAATGATTTATAATGTATATATATTTAAACAATTAGCGGCGAGACTATAACTTACGGACGGACCAACCAGGTATAAGATAACAGGTCTTGAATTTTTGACGCGAAATTCACTCAACCATTTGACTTAATTGTGTGTTAGCATTTTAGCTAACGTCAGTTCATGATTAAATCCCTAAATCTAGTTCCTAACCCTAACCATCAAATGCAAATCATAATTCTAATTTCTTACATTGCTTTATAGTCATCATTTAGTCCTAGTTAGTGGGTAGATGTTCCCATGGTTATTTTAGCATCACTCAAAGGTCGTCCATATATTATAGTCTCACCCAATTAGTTTATAGTAGCTCACGTGAAATTGAGTTTATTCACGTTTAATTTGGTGAAGCCGTTTTTTGTTAACTTATTTAACACGAATAGTCATTCGTACAATAACAAGTTATCTTATATCATTGTACCTTTATTATTGTTGCATTTGTATGAATATGTATACTTGAGCATTGTTTACTGCCTATGCATATATTCACTCTGCTAGCCTTACTATCAACCGCTTAATTGATTCAATGATTCATTCATTTCACTATATATATGTACACTTTGATCCTGTTCATTGAATGGCTCATTCAACTCGCTTGCTCTTTCATGCTTGTGTACAGTACTTGTAATTTTGGTGTTCTGTGTGTGGTGCAATAATAAACGTAATCAACACTTCGTATTCGCCTTCTGATTATCTAGTGACGGTTATCAGGACAAACTGTATACGAAGTTTAAGGATTATATTGAATACCGACCACCACACACTTGTAAACCATCTATCAACATCCCCATCGAATTACCAATGCCTAGAACTCATCATCTCAATACGTGGACGAATGTGTACTCACTGACACAAGGGGAAGTTTAAGATAGACCACCATTTCAAATATCGTGATTTGAGAATGATGGCTTCTACCAACTTCATGTTCAGCTAAGATCTTGATATTAATCTAATGTTAACCAATATGCATGGTCGATAATTGCCGTAAACGGGAGGATATATTGGCGAGCAATGTACGGATGGATTACAACTATTTCTGGTATATATTACATATATGTTACTTCGCCCCCAGATTTAAACATGAGTGTATGACAGCTATCATTCGCTTGTTTTTAACAAATATCATAAATTCAACGAAGTGCTTTGATACGCCTACTGTTATTGACACAGGTCCCGTCAACTTCAACATCCCGCTTCATAATCTACTTTACATGTAAACCCTTTGCCTAAGTGCAGCGAGCAATAGCGGTTTGCTTCCCCTCATTTCTGCAGTTACACTGACATTTAAAACAAATATCATTTTCATGAAACAGTCTAACTGCACATAATGGTTAATAAGAATACTATGAAAAACTAAGTCTATAAATGTAGACGCATTATGGTGTAATATTAATATTACCGTTTGACTTGGGGAATTATTAATTTCAGTTTTCAGCACTGCATATGCGATCACGTAAGTGTGCATAAGATCGTTGTTCATGAAATAATGAAATGGATTTCTTACTTAGTTATTCGTGACTCATCCTGCGCACAGTCCATGACGACCACATCTGTACTTTACGTGTCATCTATTATATCCGTGAGCTGATCTAATATCCAGATAACATCAGCTCTTCATTCCATCCTTGTGTATGCGAATAAAATCGGACAACCGTGACCGAAGTAATCAGTTATCACCAATTGAAACAATGAATACTTCACAGTAAAATTTGCCGGCAACATCCTCATTTCTCATTATTGGTTTTGCAAGTAGAATCTTAACCGACAACTTCCACTTATTTTTGGCATGATGCTATCTCATCCTACATACAAATGCAGATCCTACTTACGGGTCTTTATTTGAAAGAAGATTCTTTCAGTTCGCCTCATATTTTAAGAAAATGAAGACTTTCAACCGAGAACCATAGCCTGAAAATATAGGAATACGTACATAATTGTAGACATCTTAGTTTTCATTGTCTTCATTTCGGTTATAGTGACTTCATGGCCAGCCTCTCTAACACATTCGATCGCTTGATCTAAGAATGATGACTTGAACAGTGCTGACCTCAGGTTCTTCTTACCCTTTGGAGCAAATCGCCTCGTCAACGGATAATCCAGGAACTTTCACAAGAATGATTTCATCTCACCGGACGTGATTTCATCACTTAATCAACCTGTTGAAGGACCGCACGGATCAATAAATGCAAATTCGTAAACTTAGATCTGAAATGTAATTTTAAATTACCGTCCTCATAGTTTAGTAATGATTCCTAGACCTTGTGGTTTACGTTTTCGGTCAAACGTATACTTGGATCTATATCGCTTATCCAGAAACTTCCCATATGTATATAGCGAGTGCGAGAAATCTAAAACATAAGAATATATATCACTTACGTGCTGGAATTCACCCAACGCTAATCTGAATTCCACCTAAATCATGAACCATCTGCTCAGAATGATACACCTGAACTCATCAGTCAGGTCAGCCGATGGATTTCTGGGACAGGAAGCACGACAAATGAGACTATGTCAGTAGAAGACAAAATAAAAAATGTATAATTGTGGAGCAACATCACTAACAGCAGTGCAGAAGGTACTATTAACAGTAAAGGGAACGATAAAAGTTCTTACCTCACTGATCGTGAGTCATCTTTTTAACTTCGAATAGAACCAGATGTTGCACAGTTTACCAGCATACAGAATTGTGTGTGATTATTTTTATTCATACTATCTACCTACCTGGCTATATTGAACTATACGAAAAATTATTCAACCGATATTTTCTCATAAAATGTCAAACAGCAGTAACCAAACTGAGGTTTATGCCAAAAAATACAAAAGCTTTGTTTTATTATGTTGATAATAAACTTGGTGGTTTTCAGATATCAACAGTCTACGTGACTGCCAACAACTGAGGACCAAGCTAACCTACACTTACGCAACCGACCCCAAGCAATTTGAATACGGACTACCCTCTTCTGTTCAGCCACTCAAAGTTGGTGGAAAGGTATGCGTGGTCCAGTTTGAAAGTCGATTACTTTTCTCCCGTGTTCTATATTTAGGTGTGGAAAGAGACAGATTGTACTTAACTAATGACCTATCAGTTTGAGCATCATTGTAGTTAAATTCCTTGAAAAGATTAGTATTGTTATGTGAAGATGCAAAAAGTGTTTCTAGATTGACAAGACTTCAACCAGTAACACCTACTATGTATCGTGCCCGCCTAGTGAAATCAAAAGTCAGAAGCGAGGAGGTTCGAATAAATATATGATAGACTATTAATATATCGAGAAATGACTTATCTAACTGGCTAGCGGTTGCAGGGGAAATTGAGCACGTTATGCTCACTAGTGATCTGATGCGAATGCATGACCGAGCATATTCAGCCAGCTGAGTCCATTAAAACTAACGTGGTCAGCATCCAGTGTTGAATATCTACAGGGCTATTTATTTACCGCTACAGATCACTCCCTCCTAGTGGTGTAGTGATGACCCTAAGACGTGGCCAGCCAGAAGTTTAAACCCAACGAGTTTGTCACTGTCAAACACTCTCCTGACTAGCTTGCTAAGTTTAGCAGCGTCGGGTCGTCTTTCCTTACTATAAGGGGCCATGTAGTGCAATATAGTAATAGAGAAAAAAGTACAATGAAAATTTCGGTTCATCGTAAACTTTGTCCTTCTCTTTTCGTCTTTTTCAGCCGTCCTGGAAAATCGCAGTGAACAGGATTCCCTTCTAAATACACCGCTTAGATGCGATTGATGCTGCTGTTGTCGTTAGTCCCGTTTTTACCGATTACATAGTAGTTATTTTCAGGCTAAAGTACTTTGAAGGGTCCTTCGTATTTCGATTTGAGAGGCCATTGAAATGAGTCTAGACCTACAAAAACGTGTGTATTATATTGTAAGTCAGGTTGAACAAAAACATCAGTTGGCTGCGGTCGAGTGAAAACAGGTCTAACTGAACTCACTGTGTTTGTAAGCTAGCTTGTGTAGGAGGTAAGACCCATTCTCATTGAAGATAATGAATGATCAACGATGTGACGTTCCATAAACGAGTTGAGCTACAATGCATCCAATTTCAGCTTTTACTGGATTATCAATACCATGTAAAACGAGTAAAAGGGCGCCGGCCCACTTTGAAAAGTTTACAGCTGATAATAAAGCTTTTAGCTGTCGATGAAAGCGTTCTACCAACCCGTTTGCTTGTGAGTAGTAGGTGGTCGTTCGAAATTGTGTGGTTCCTAATAGTGTAGCCAAATGACGGAAAAGTTCAGATTCGAACCAGTGTCCACAGTCTGTACTGATAGTTGAGGGGCAGTCGACAAAGGCGCGGGCCACTGTTTCAACAGTAATGTCCTTGATGGGTACTGCTTTTGGCCATCGAGTGAAAAGGTTTACGCAAGCTAATAGATAAGAGTATCCATTTGAATCTGGTAAAGGTCCTACCAACTCCAGATGAACATGGCCGAAGCGAGCATCGGGAGTTTTGAATGAGCTAGGAGTTCTTAACCGAAAGTGCTATATCTCGATTCGGTGTCTATTAACCGTCTCGAGAAGAGTGACAAAGGTTGCCAGGAGTGGTTAACCCACTGTTGTAAGATTCCTCCAATTGCTGAGTGTGATGTGCCTACCGCGATACTAATGGGTGATTGGGTGTTCTAGTGTACAAGCATGGTTGCTTTTGCGATAAGTTCCTTAACTGTAGAGGATACTTTTCTTGCGCTACCGTCCAAATTGATGAATTTCAAACTTCCATGAAGTTGGTAAGTTAGAGGTTTCATAAGGCACGCGCAGTTTTGTATGAGCCATCTACAAGGCCCTTAAACGTACGTGATTGCCTAATTGTCGTCGGTTCTCGAAATCCAAAATGGTCGACACTATGCTTCTCAGAGGTTGGATGCCTTAAGCACCAACAGCGTGTGTCGAGGAAATCTAGGGAGTCAGTTCCGATTTGGTATTTCTGAATGTTTACAGTAATGCCATGCTTTCGTAGTCGTTCAGATGCTGGAGATGAGATTCTCAGTCCGGACTTGTAATCGGGTAGTCATCATGTGGTGTGTGCCACTTATATCGACATAAGTGGTATATGATGTTGGTCGTGAACAGAAGATCTGGAAGCAGAGAGACAAGAGGATCGAACAGTAAAGAATGGAAATAAAATGCGATTTGTATGAAAGTGCAAGAACAATGAAGTCTGAGTCATTTAAAGACAATTGGTGGGCATTTTGCAAATAAGCATTTACTTTATGATTGTCAGATTTTATTAACAAGTCCTGTAATTTCGTGTGAAATACATTCGACTGTCCCCACCCGTGTTCTGTTCACTACAATCGACATAAGCATATACGAAGTTGAGACTTTTAAAAACGTCCTCTATGAACCTTTGAAATGTTTCGGTAGCACTTTTTGAACCGAAACACATGGCTCAAATCCACAGAGACCGAAAGAAGTGATGATAGAGGTTTTAGGAATGTCATCAGCGGCCATAGGAATTTGGCCATAGGCTTTAACCAAGTCGATTTGCTAGAAAACATCTGCACTTTTCAAGTAGCTGTCGAATCGTGAGTGTGAGGCAATGAATAACAGTCAGGGATGGTTTTTGTAATCAGTCGCTGATAGCCACAA